AGTAATTTTAGTTATTAAGGGAATTTTGGGGTGAAAGCCCAAAGATGTGTTTCTTCAAGGGGGGGGGGGGGGGGGGCTGTGGGGGGTTCCAAATGTATAGTAGGGATAGTGGGTAGGTCGGGCACATAGTTGCCGGAAAACGTATGAAACTAAAAAAACGTAACGTTTTAAACGCGTTAAAAAACGCCGTTTTAAACTCCCAACGCATTTGCACTATTTGCAAAAAGAGACAAGAGTTTCTTTAGGGTTTCTTTAGGGTTACTTCAGGGTCATGTCAGGAATTGGAGGACGCTGCGAATGCTGGAGCTGGAAGCATGTGATACGAGCTGAGTGGCACTGGACATGTAAGTATTGTCATGAGATTCACACTAGGGGAGCGGAGCGAGTGCGAGCACATCTCGCTGGAGTTCGGGCAAGAGGTGTGAAAACGTGCAAGGCAATGAGGGAGATCCCTTATGAAGTTCTTAAAAAAGCTCGCAACAGTTTTTCCGATTTCGAGCTAGCAGACCCAGCAGATGCTGATGATGGGCATCTACTGCAGCAAGCCGCACAGGGTTCAGGGGGGCCAGCAGAATCTATGGTGGCAAGCACGGAGAATTGGTCCAGTGCTGGGACAAGCAGAGCAGCGAAACGTAGATCCTCGGATGGAAATTTGGTGACATTTTTTTATACTGCTTCGGCTGAGGCACTGGATGATGCTGTTGCAGAGTTCTTCTTTGCCAAGAACATCTCCTTCAACACAATCCGAAGAGACAACTTGAAGAGAATGCTGAAAGTTGCCGCAAAAGTGGGGCATCCAGCGATTGACAACCTCATGGGATATGAGAAGTTGCGGACAACTGAGCTACAACGAATATACAACAACGTTCAGAAGCGGCTTGAAGATGTGCGGCTAAGTTGGAGGACATATGGTTGTACCATTGTCACGGATGGCTGGTCTGATATCAAGAAGAGGTCTCTTCTCAACTTCATGGTCAGTTCTGTGAGAGGCTCAATTTTCCTGAAGGCTGTGGACAGCAAGAATGCGAAGAAAACCGGAGCATGGTTGTTTGAGCAGCTGAAACAAGTGATTGCCGAGGTTGGTGCAGAAAACGTTGTGCAGGTGGTGACAGACAATGCAAGCAACTGCGTGGTCATGGGGGAGCTTTTGCAGCAGGAGTTTCCATAGATTGTACACGTTCGCTGCGTTTGCCATGTTATGGACTTGCTGTTCGAAGATATTGGAGCTCTGTCTTGGGTGCAGCCTTTCGTCGATGGCTGTGCGAAGATAGTTACCTTCATCACCTCAAAGCCACGGGTTCTAGCTCTTTATAGAACTTTCTACAAACAGGACCTGATAAAGCCTGTGACCACGAGGTTTGCTTATATTTTTCTCGTGATGTCTCAGCTTCTGGAGACCACGAATCTCTCCGGGCTTTAAAGAATGGTGGTGAGCCAAGAATGGGAGCGACTTGACTGGTCTAAGAAGCTGGAGGGCCTGGAGCTGCGATCTCGTGTTCTCAATGACTCGTTCTGGGAGCGGTGTGAGAATTTGTTAATTTTGCTCGAACCTTTACTTCGAGTTCTTCAACTCGCTGATCGGGAGGGGGCGACTTTAGGCCTCATCTTTGAAACTGTTGATTGGCTGATTGAGAAGATGGACAAGGGAGCTCGAAACGGAATTTATGCACATGAGGAAGTGGGACAAATCAAGGATTTCCTACTTGAATCACACGGTCTGAAGGAGGCAAGGTGGTATCAAATGCACAATGTCATTCATGGAGCTGCTTTTGCTCTTCATCCTCTGTTTCTGGGGTATAACCCAGAGAACGACAAGCTGGACAATGAGGCACGTGGGAACTGGTTGGAGTACATGCATGTTTATGGCAGAGGTGATCTGGACTTGCAGCTGAGATTGCAGGCATAGTTTGAGAGGTTTCGGCAACAGCTTGGACGGCAAATGAGGTTACCTGTTGCCAAGGATTGGGAGACCAGAAAGTTTCCAGTAACCTGGTGGAGTTCTTTTGGTTTAGAGATGCCTGATCTACGTCGCATGGCTCTCCGGATTTTAAGCCAAGTTGTTTGCACTTCTCCATGCGAGAGGAATTGGAGCTCATGGAGCTTGATACAAACAAAGCGCAGGTCCCGCTTGCTTCCCAAAAGTGCTGAGAAGCTGGTTTACATTCATACAAACTTGTGGGTTGTTCAGAAGCTGGAGAGTGAAGGTTTGAGGATGCTGGAGATTGATATAGACAAGCTGGAGTTGGAGCCTCATTGGAAGAGGATTTTGGATTTGCAAGAAGCTTTTGAGGAACCAAATCAGGCTACTGACGAGTTTAGCATCGATGAAGGAATGGAAGATGATTCAGAATTGGAAGACGACTAAAACGGCTTCTTCTTTCATTTGTTTTATCGGTTGGGTTTTATAAACTTAATATCAGATTAAAATGTATTTAGTAAATATTAGTGTTGTCTTAATCATTTTAGGCTTTAACATGTAAACGTTTGATTGTCCTGAAAAAAACGTTTTAAACAGCATTTAAACGTGGACGCGTTTGAACGTTTGCATGTCTAGCTGCAACTATGGTCGGGCATGGCCGACCAACCTGAGGCATAGTCTAGCTCCCACTTGCGTGCCTGTCCTTGTTCTACGTCCGGCTTGGGTCTAAACCCAAGTTCCATTCCATGCTAGCTGGTGGAGTACCCATGTCCTCACGTTAGGCCACCGGTATGCCAAAATAGCGCCAAACTCCGTTTTGCTCCGTTTTGCGTGTTAGTCCTGGCATTAGGATGCTCGTTGCTCCAGGACTGTTCCAAGTCGCTCCGGGCTCCTGTCCCTTTGCTCCTTAAGCTGTATGCTCGGGAGTTGCTCCGTGGTTTGGTTCCGTCACTCCTTGGCTCCATGGTTGGGAGTTTGGCATCGTTCCTTTGTTCAGTGGCCCAAGGCCCTGAACCTCGGGTTCCACACCACGTTCCTTTGGACACGTGGCATCTGTCACATGGCATAAAGAGGGTTTAGGTTGGTATCCTATGGTAAATCACCATAGGATAAAGGGTAAAAACCACATGCGCTACAATTATCTGAAAAAATCTGCTCTGTATAATATTATGTCACATCTCTGGCCAATAGAAACACCTGTGCAACTTTTCAGTCATATAATGATGTCCCATATACCCACTTAGAACAGGAGAATCATGATAATCATGAAGAAATTGTGGAATAAAGATTGAAGGCACTACCAGCTGTAAATGATCATCAGGATCCATCTCCACAAAATAAAAAAGGCTGTCTTTAAGGCGATATTGAGAATGTAAATGCCGGAATGGCATGTCATTAGCAAGTGATGTAGGATTCTTAAACCCATCTTAAAGCCTTCAAATCCATGGCTCAATTTTTTTAGCCTTGGGAACCTTGCTAAGAGAATGTAGATCTTGCTCTGCACTTTGTGGACATTAAACGTCAAGTACAACAACTGCTGACAACATAGAATTCTTGTCTAGAAAATCTAGATGCTGGAACAACAGGCTCGTAAAAACATGAGAAGAGAATGAAGAAGGAAGAGGAGCTTGAGAAAAGACATTAGCATCATCCATAAAACTCCATGGGCAATGAACAAAATCAAAATTATATATCTGAAGCTTCAAAGCCCACCAAGAAGTACAACCAACTAAGTTCTTTTATTTCAATAATGAAGTAACAGCAACATAATCACCTTTTAGTAACGTCCGAGAACCATATAGATATGCATGAAGTTTCTCGAAACACCAAACTGCTACTAAACACTTCTTCTCTATCATGGAGTAGTTCACCTCTGCTAGTTGTAATGTATGGCTTATATACACAATGGGATGGTGCTGACCAGGCATACCCGGGCTCTCTTGCATCAACACACCTCCACATGCAAAATGAAAGGTTGAGTGTAGTCAAGATATGCCAAAACTAGAGGAGTTATCAATAGCTCTTTGACATCCATGAACGCCCGTTTACAATCTGGAGGCCAAATGAAAAATGATGTTGATGACTTTAGCAATGTTCACAACAATGTAATGCAATCAGAAAGATAATCTACAAAACGACTGAGATATTGCACCTTGCCCAAGAAGTGTTGCATATTATTCATACACTTTGGAGTATGGAACTTTAAAACAGCCACAAGTTTGTCAGAATCAACTTGCAAACCCTCACAAGAAATATGGTACCCAAGATAAGTCGTGTCCTTGGATCCAAACACACACTTCAACCGCTTCAGCTTGACTTAGCACCACCTACAATGACTGCAACCCAAGCTTGAGATTGCCTACATGCACAACTAGGTTCATTTCATCCCGTGCACATGCATGTGTACTATTATTGTCATAAAGAATGAAAATTGGCTCTACCGCACGACATAAATGTAGATGGCAACATGTGGTAACAAATTAAGCGTAGCAATAGATTGAGCAATAGAAGATAAACTCAAACCTGTATCAACTAACACAGAGAGAATAATAGAAGACCTCTTGTTACAAAAACAAGCTTGGAAAGTAAACACTACATGAACTTGTGTCGAGTGAACTTCTTAATGATACTCGCGAAAGAAAGATGGAAGGGTTACTGACTTATTTGTGTAAAGTCTCTCCATTACTCACACGACTCCTCATTTCCCATATCTTAGTGGCTAGACCTTCCACTATAACAGCACCAATAAGACATTGTTGACACCAAAGTCTCCACCCAGGAAATAGAGGTTGACAATCCGGAAAATGCCTACAACGCTGATAAGTGTGACCAACTTCATCATATGCCTAGTAGTGAATATTACGGCCACGACCACGTCCTCACCCTTATCCTTGAATGCGAGTAGCAACAGCATCAACCTCTATTGGAACAAAACCATCTTTCATAGAAAGTGGAGATGCTAAGTGAAGGACATTGTTAAGGGTGGTTGGAGCAAGTGCTTGTACAAATCCTACAAGATATTGACAAAGTGTTGGCCATGACATTCTCAGTTTGATCCGCTTAGACATATTTGACTCTAGATGAAGCAAGAGGGTTTGAAAACTAACACCAAATTGCATCACGATTTAGATGGTCCTTAACGAAGACGATGCAATTGTTAGAAGGCATCATCATAATTATCAATATGTTCAAATGGGTTTGAAGACGTTCAAGAGAATACTCCAATCCTCATGAGTGGCTGCACTCAAACCATTATACCACTGTAGTGCCATCATTTGGAGACACATAAAAAACTTATGTAAACATTGAGCATCATCCCAAGAATGATATGTGGCAATCACCATAAAGTGATCGAACCAATGATATACATCATCCCTAAGATTCCCACAAAATAACTCCGGCCAAACACATGGATTGGCACCAAGAGTAGGAAGAGTTGTACCATATGCCATGAATGCTACCATTAACTAAGTTTAGTTGTTCAATTACAATCACATAGCATCGAACAATTGTAACAACTACTACTCTAGAGTGAAAGGAAGAGGAGATTGCTGCTCTACCATAAAGATGAATGAAAAGGAAAAAGTAAAAGAAATGAAATGAAAAAAAAACTAAAAGGAAAAGGAGATTTAGACAATGAAAAAGCTCGATCTAAACCAAAATCTCAAAAGGAAAAAACTAAAGAAAGGAAATGGAAAAAATTAGATTTAGACAATGCAAAAACTAGATATAAACTAATATCTTAAATCTAAGCACTCCTCAGGGACAATCAAAGGTGCCTCTCACCTCCAACAATGTGAGTGCAAGGAATATAAAAAGGGAATACAAAAAATATGCATATCAATTAGCTCAAAAACCCTAATTTATATACAAGAGCAAGTGGGTCGAATTGAAATTAATCCGACAGCTACCAAAATCCCACTATACTAATATTAGTATATGGCATTGCAGTTGTACATTTGGACCTCATAGCATGTTTTCAATTATTATAAATGGAAATTACATATAATGCAATCCATATCAACTATTTTTTTTTATAATTCCTTGTATAGATAATAGATTTTGTATTTTCCTATATTTCCAGGAGGTGATCAAGACTAAGGATCTAAGTCATGAGTAATATTTCAAAATACAACTTATACTGAGTTTGTAGTGGGTATGACAAAAAACAAGAGCAATTTTGAAAAATAAGAGGGATGAAGAATTTTTGTGAGTGGAATGATATAGAGGTACTATGTGGTATGATATGTTAATATCTTAACAAAGTCTTAGATCTCCATAAAGAATATTTAAAATATCAAAATATTTTCACAAACTCACAAAGTTGATATAATTATGGCATGATATTTACATATACTATCACTATGGATTGTTAAAACCTTAGAGGAAAAATAGAGATAAGATATCTATTAAAGACTTTTTTATTAAAAAAATAATTATTCCTTTTTCAATTGGGTTAAAGGGAGAGAGATCAAATACATGGGTAAATGACTATAGCACATGTGATCATGGGATGAAATTTGAATATATTATCACCATGGATCCTTAGAACTTTGGAGAATAAATGGGGATAAAATGGCTACTAAGGACTCTCTCATTAAGTAATTGCCATTTTTCCAGTTGGCTTAAGAGGAGAGAGATAAGGTGCACTACATGTGGTATCAGAGAAAATGGCACAGGTTCAATTCCTATTGATTAATGGCTACTTAAAATATAATATACCCTTGAGCAAGGTATATTACTACCTCTAAAATTTGAAATCGTATGTATTAGGCATCCATACATACATCGTTTGTCTTGAGCCTCCTAAACAAGAATAGCTAATCTACACAATAGAAGGATTGGTAAATTCAATGCGGAAATGGATTGATAGATTCAGTATTGTCACCGTGAATTCTTGGAACCTTGAGGGATAAAGAGAAATAAAGTGCACTACAATAACACAAGTATTAAGTATTCATAAATATGCATTTTGTCTTGTAAAGCATCCATAATAACCCTTATTGAACTAAAGGCTTCATTGACTAAGAACTCTTATTAAACTAAAGGGAATTAACATTTTCATTTCCAACTCAATGAAGAACATTTGTAAAGAAGGTGTTAGTTCTTTTAGGCTTAATAAAAGTTTCAATAAAAGACATAATTTTCAACACACTCATCACACTTATCAATGTGTTTCCTTGATGATTGACCTGGCTAAGTGATGGTGTTACCACCAAATGTTGCTATTGAATCTCAATAATAAGTAAAAGAGTTTCAAGGTATACTTAACTCATTTATCTGTGGTATTCTTCCATTTGCTTAACCTCTTCTTTCCTATCAATTATAGATTATTTCTCACTTTGTTCATATAAAAAATGATATCAGTACAAGAGATTACATTAGGACATCACCCCTCCACTATTCTGAAAGACTAATGCTGGAGAAATCATAATAAGAAAAGTGACTAGCTTACTCACAAATTTTATAAATTATATAAATATCACAAACCATTAGATGGTAGAATAAGTTAGAATGTATTTTATTCAGAAACTTTAAATGAATATTAACTGTGGTGAGTGCATGAAATACAAAATTGGAATACAGAAATGTTAATCCAAAAGTCTTAATTTATATATAGGAGCAAGTGGTCATCACTTGAGGTCTAGTTATGCCATATACTAATATTGGGATTGTGATACTCGCCAATTTGATTACATTTAAATGAATATTAACTGTGGTGAGTGCATGAAATACAAATTTGGAATACAGAAATGTTAATACAAAAATTGTAATTTATATACAGGAGCAAGTGGTCATTACTTGAGGTCTAGTTATGCCATATACTAATATTAGGATTTTGATACTCACCAATTTGATTAGATATCAAAATCCCAATATTAGTTTATGGCATAACTAGACCTCACACCGCTGAATAATAAACCATATTCATCCACTAGTTAATTCCTAAACAATCAAAAGAAGAAAATGTATAAAACAATGCACATGTTTCTTATAAACTCTTTTATTTTAGTTGGACTGTTTGGTGTCTAAACAAAATAAAACAAAGCAAATTATTGGAACATTAACTCGTAATGTACACCTTTTACCTTTTACGCCTAGAGAACGACTTCCCTATTGAAAATCCAGCTAAACGTTCCAGTGTTGGGGCCCTTCTTCACCCTGCTCTGCGCTCGCTCCTCCAGTCTCAAGATCTGAGGGAGACCACACACGAAATTCTGGGCCTTTTGCGCGCGAGCAGACAATCCAGTGATGGACTCGACGTTCCATCTCTTGACCAAGTGCTCCAGAATTCCTGCGTAATCCTTGGCAATGTATACCCCCATCCTCTGTGCCACCAAAGAGAAGTGCTCAAACAGGTTCTTGTCCTGGCCGTCGTACATGAGATGAGCCGGCATGGAGATCTTCTTCCTCATCATGTCCTCCAGCCCCAGCATTGCGCCCTCCGAATCGATCTCAAACAGCTTCTCCATGATCCTGGTGTAAGCATTCTCATGCCGCTTCTCATCGAATGCGATGAGGCCGCAAACAGTCGTGTGGCGAGCAGTGTTGCCGTGAGAGATGGCGGTGGCTCGCTCCTGGAAGAAGGTGTAGATGAACCCGAGATATGGATTGTTCTCGGTCTGGGGATCCTGCAAGGATGGAAACCGAACTTTTGAGTTCCCGAGAAAGAAGAAACTCTGGCTCTTTACCATTCCAGGACCGATAAGTACTGGATCGTCTTCTCGATTTGCTTCAAGTCGACTCGTCCAGTGAGGTAGAGATACTTGTTGAGCAAATCACCATGGCAATTCTCCTCGGCAGTCCAGGCACGCCACTACAGTGCCCATGGACTTGGGCTCGCACTGATCTCGTCGCGGGTGCCATCGAGAGTGTTGAGCATCGTCAAGTAAGTTGGCAGCGCTTCCTCGGTGATCATGTTCCCGACGAGGCAGAAGAAGTAGTCGTTGGGCAAGCTCTCGGCTCGCTCCCTCAGCTCACGGACCTCATCGTAGAAGCTCTCCGAGGATAGCTCCGGGAGACAGTCCTACGAGTCTGACACACTGAAGATTATGAGCTTGTATACCTGCGCCATCTTGCTGAGGAACGCTACTAGGCATAGTTGAGTTCTTTCTGCATTCCAGCGTGTCGTCTAGATCCAGCACCAGCGCATAGCTAGGGTTTGAGAAAAACATTATTCTTTAATATACGAGGTTTTCAATTAGTATTATTAAACCTAATTATTTAATAAATTATTAAGTTTTCATGCTGAGACCCCCTCGATTTCAGTTTCATCTTCTCGCGTGCAAGCGGCGGTGAAAGTTCTCACAAAGCCTCGAGAGCCGCTCCCCATCACCACTGTCAAAGAATTCCACGTCACTATGGACCAGTATCAAACACAACCTCGGAGTTCTCACACTTGGGACATTTCTACGAGACGAAGAGGTTTGGTCCAATACACTGCCGTTGGCCCGATCCAAGCAATCCATCCTCGAGAGAGAGCTGCCAGAGCGGCACAAGCCTTCAAGGCATTTGGCTTGAATCCCCAGCACTTCATCGTGGAGTAGAGATCCATTTTCTTGGACTTGGAGAAGAGAGACCTTGTAAGAACAACAAAAGAGCAGGCTTCTTTAGATTTTTGGACATTTGTGGAGGCCGCCACGGTAGCCTGGTAGAGGCGCTCGCCGAGTACCTCCACCAGCGCGGCAGCCTCCTCTTGCAAATTACCCACGAGTCCCATTTGGAGGCGCCGCCTCCAAAGGAAAACGCCCGAGCCAGGATGTCCCCAGGTCGGGCCATGGACGCGTGGGAAATCTAGTCGAGCTCTTCGCCTTCTTGCGGCAAAGAGGAGAAAGAAAGCACCCAAGCAAGAAAAACCAAGCTCCACAGCAAAACAATCAAGCAAGCAAAGGAGAGATGCGATCACTCACCATGGGCGCCATCCAGATCCAGCTCCATCTACGACACAAGCGAGAGAAATCGTTAGAAGGAAGAAGCGGGCACACAGGCAAGCAATCCTCCCGAGCTCAACCGCCAGAGGCCCCCAAAGAAAAGCCCTATCGCCGCAGGTCTTGCATTTATATACTCCACGGACTGCGAATATTTCATTCGGCCGGATTAGAATATACCTAGACAGCAGTTAAAAACGAGAATAATTTGTGCTCGCATAATTAGAGATATACTTTTTAATGATTTTTTAATGATATATTTTTGTGTATACTATTTTTACTGGTTTTGTGTTACAATTTAGATGATCTAAATTTAATATAATTTGAAGGGCTATTATATGCAATGACTCTTAATTTATGAGATTTTTATGTTTAAATAGTTAAAAAATTATATGAGCCATTATTTTGATAAATTATTTGACTTTAACTAGATGATTATCTGCCAGTAACATTTTATTAATAATCATATAAATCAGCAAAGAGTTCTTTGAATTCTTGGTAAAAGTGGCTAAGACAAATAAAGGTCAATCAATTATTTATGACTAGACCTAAATCATCTTTATGAAGCTAGCTCGAGGTCACTTTAATTTCAACACTGAAAAAAACTTCTTTAAACAAGTGTTATTTAGCTATTTTCTAATTTAAAATAAATAAAGCATAAATTTCATGTGGACTTAATTTTATTTTAATATTGGCTCATTTTCTCAATTCTAGTTTTCATTTTAAAACAAAAATAAAGTGAAGTAGAATTTTCTTTTTTCAGCATATTATCACAATAGATAGAAAAGCTATCTTTAAAACATTAGCCCCTCCAGATAAGGTTTATTAAATATAAGATACTAATTTGACATTTTATACATGTATAGAATTATTATACATGGAAATCACTTATAATGCAATCCATATCAACTGGTTTTTCTTATAATTCCTTGTATAGAGAATAGAAGTTTTATTTTTTCTATATTTCCTGATCAAGACTAAGAATCTAAGCCATGAGCAATATTTCAAAGTACAACTTATATTGAGTTTGTAGTGGGTATGACAAGAAACAATAGCAATTTTGAAAAATAAGAGGGATGAAAAAGTTTTGTGAGTGGAATGATATAGAGGTACTATGTGGTATGATATGTTAATAGCTTAACAAAATCTTAGATCTCCATAAAGAATATTTAAAATATCAAAATATTTTCACAAACTCACAAAGTTGTATATAATTATGGCATGATATTTACATATACTATCACTATGGATTGTTAAAACCATAGAGGGAAAATAGAAATAAAATATTCATTAAAAAATTTCTTATAAAATAATTGCCCCTTTTACAATTGGGTTAAAGGGAGAGAAATCAAATGCATTATATGGTATTCAGGCAAATGACACAAGCATTAAGTATTCATAAATACATTTTTTTCCTTGTAAAGCATCCATAATAACCCTTATTGAGCTAAAGGGTTCATTGACTAAGAAATCTTATTAAACTAAAAGGAACTAACATTTTCATTTCCAAGTCAATGAAGATATCAATATCTCTAAGGAAGACTGGTTCCTTATATAAAAATACAAAAGGTTCTTAGGCTTAATAAAAGTTGTTGATTAGTATTTTAAAATGTATCATGGGATGAAATTTAAATATACTATCACTTTTCCCCTTGGATTAAGGAGAGAGAGAGAGAGAGTTAAAATATATTACAATTATAAACAGTTGCTAACAAGTAGAAACAATACATTTTTGTTGTGAAATCCTTCACAAACCACTTATAAGGCATTATTGTTGACATTAATTTGTGATCAATAAACTCTTTTTCTTTGCCATCTCAATCAAATTAAATCTTGCTAAAAAAACAAGGACAAACTATAACTTTGGTTTGGATTCTTGAGCCATTTTGATTATCATGCTAGTGATCTATATTATCATGGATCTAAACTCAAAAATTATGGCCAAAAGAAAAAATATGACACAATTTTCATCACACTCATCAAACTTACCAATGTGTTTCCTTGATCATTGACCTGGCTAAGTTATGGTGTTACCACCAAATGTTGCTATTGAATCTCAATAATAAGTAAAAGAGTTTCAAGGTATACTTAACTCATTTATCTGTGGTATTCTTCCATTTTCTTAACCTCTTCTTTCCTATCAATTATAGATTATTTCTCGCTTTGTTCATATGAACAATGATATCAGTACAAGAGATTACATTGGGACATCACCCCTCCACTATTCTGAAAGACTAATGCTGGAGAAACCATAATAAGAAAAGTGACTAACTTACTCACAAATTTTATAAATTATATAAATATCACAAACCATTAGATGGTAGAATAAGTTAGAATGTATTTTATTCAGAAAATTTAAATGAATATTAACTGTGGTGAGTGCATGAAATACAAAATTGGAATACAGAAATGTTAATCCAAAAGTCTTAATTTATATATAGGAGCAAGTGATCATCACTTGAGGTCTAGTTATGCCATATACTAATATTGGGATTTTGATACTCACCAATTTGATACAAATATATTCTATGTATATCCACTGAAACAATCAAAAGACAAGAATGTATAAAACAATGCACATGCTTTTTATAAACTTCTTTTATTTTATTTGTGTCTAAACAAAATAAAACAAAGCAAATTATTAGAACATTAACTCGTAATGTACACCTTATACCTTTTACACCTAGAGAACGACTTCCGTATTGAAAATCCAGCTAAACGTTCTAGTCTTGGGGCCCTTCTTCACCCTGCTCTGAGCTCGCTCCTCCAGTCTCAAGATCCAAGGAGGGAGACCACACACGAAATCCTGGGCCTTTTTGCGCACGAGTAGACAATCCAGTGATGGACTTGACGTTCCATCTCTTGACCAAGTGCTCTAGAATTCCTGCGTAATCCTTGGCAGTGTACACCCCTGTCCTCTGTGCCACCAAAGAGAAGTGCTCAAACAGGTTCTTGTCATAACCATTGTACATGAGATGGGTAGTATGCACAATACAGCAACCCCCCTTTATTTAGGGTGGGCTCTATTTGCTTATTTGGATTTGTATGCCACCTCATTGCTTACATGGATCAGTCATGTGATCAACAAAATTCTGGGAGTGGTTGACTATATAATGAGTACATTTGATAATGATGTATAATGAGCTCATAAGCATTTGAGCAAATGTGAGAACTTTAAACCATCTTTACAACCTTGATTATCAGATTGACATCTCATTAGTCGATGGCATCTTTCATATTTTCTCTCTTGTGGAAGAAAATCATAAGGAGGAAAAACCTAAACCAATCATAGGTTATATACTTATAAATTACAGCCGTTCATTAGCTATCTAATTATAAAATTATAGTCATTAACATATCCGTTAACAACATCTACTAATTAAAGTTTAACGTTACTAATTTAGAGTTAGTCGTTAAACATTTAAGGTGGGCGTGACTAAACGCGCCACGGGGGAAGTGAGGAGTGAAGAGAGGGGAGGAAGTGAGGAGTGAGCATGGCAAAGGGGCAACCAAAGAGAGGAGGGTGCTGTATTATGCATTTCTCCCCATGAGATGAGCCGGCATGGAGATCTTCTTCCTCATCATGTCCTCCAGCCCCAGCATTGTGCCCTCCGGATCGATCTCAAACAGCTTCCCCACGATCCTGGTGTAAGCATTCTCGTGCCGCTTCTCGTCGGCTGCGATGAGGCCGCAAACAGTCGCGAGGTTGTGGTCTCCGTGCTCCTTGGCGTGGCGAGCAGTGTTGCCGTGAGAGATGGCGGTCGCTTGCTCCTGGAAGGACGTGTAGATGAACCCGAGGTATGGATTGTTCTCGGCCCTGCAAGGATGGAAAACCCGAACTTTTGAGTTCCCGAGAAAGAAGAAACTCTGGCTCTTTACCATTCCAGAACCGATCAAGTACTGGATCGTCTTCTCGATTTGCTTCATGTCGACTCGTCCAGTGCGGTAGAGATACTTGTTGAGCAAATCACCATGGCGATTCTCCTCGACAGTCCAGGCACGCCCCCACACCGCCCATGGACTCGGGCTCGCACCGGTCTCGTCGCGGGTGCCATCGAGAGTGTTGAGCATCGTCAAGTAAGTTGGCAGCGCTTCCTCGGTGGTCATGTCCCCGACGAGGCAGAAGCGCAAGCTCTCGGCTCGCTCCCTCAGCTCACGAACCTCGTCATAGAAGCTCTCCGAGGATGGCTCCGGGAGATAGTCCTGGGGCTGCCAGCATTTCTCCACCGGCCGGAGGAATGGAAGGATGGATTCCTCCGCCCAGCTCTCGAGCGACTTATACATCTCGATCTTCTCGGGAGAGAGCCAGTGCATGATCTGCGAAGTCTTGCTGCTGTCTTTCTTCGCGACGCTCTCCCTGTGCATGCAAAGAGAGAAAAAAAAATTCAACCTTTCATGAAAGAAGAAAAGAAAACAAAGCGATCGATACTCAGCTGCGGCAGTCATCGCAATCGCTTGGCGATGGCAGCCATTGTTAAACTTGCTTAAACTATATCAAAGTGCAAAGCTTTGTCCTATCTTTTCTTTTTGGCGTTGGGCTTGCCAGGATTCTTCCCAGTAAATTGCTCTTGTGCTTCTTCCTTTGGCTGGCCATTCCACAGGAACTGCGTGACATCGTCCACTTGAGAAAGCTTGAGCAAAAGTGGTGTCAATCTCTCAAGCTCTTCATCATCTGCTTCTCCTCTGAATGGTTTGATCTCGATGCCATTGTGTGGGCACAGCCTGAAGTGGAACCTTTCATTGTCCACCCACACTAGCCGCTTCAACTCATGCCTGACCTTTACCTTGCGCACATCCTTGATGAAACCGGTCCTCGTCCTGGTGCAATCCTCAATGCCAT